GCCCGGCGGGACTATTTCGAGAGCACCTCTTTCCAAGGCAAGGACCAGCGCTTCTCCTGCGACCTGGTGCCCGCCGAGGAGCTGGAGCCGGCGCCGTCCTCCTCCCCCTCGCCCCGCTATGTCCACGAGATCGAGATCCCCCTGACGGAGATCTTCGCCCGGGGCAAAGCCGTGGCGCCGGCCCCGACCCCGCCGGCCACCATGGACGCGGCCTACGAGGAAGGGTTGGCCCGCCTGAAGATCCGCGCCTTGGAGAAGCTGGAGGTGGACAAGAGGCTGGAGAAGCTGACGGAGGAGGTGGAGGAGAAGATCGCCTCGCAGGTGGGACGGCTCCAGGTGGAGCTGGATCGCAAGAGCTCGGAGCTGGAGAAGGCCAAGCAGGAGAGCCTGAGGCTCAGCAGGGAGAAGCAGGAGCTGGAGGACCGGGCGTCAGAGCTGTCCCGTCAGGTGGATGTCAGCGTGGAGATGTTGGCCTCCCTCAAGCAGGACCTGGTGCAGAAGGAGCAGGAGCTCACTCGCAAGCAACAGTGAGTCCTTTGCCCCCTTTCCCGGCTGCAGGGTGGGGGGAAATCTGTCCCTGGTGGTGAGTCCTGAGGAGCCCAACGCCACCACCAAACCCTCAGACCAAGCGCTAGGGCACGGTCCCCCTGGCAGAGCCTGTTGGCACCCTCTCTGATCAGGTTTTGCATCTTTTTCCACTTGGGCAGTGTCCACACAAACCTGAGCCTCCCCATGGCTGTGGCCAAGCTGGGTCACATCCTGCCAGACGTTGTCCCAGAGCCACGGGTGTCCCCGGGACGTGGCCAGGCTGGGGATTCATGTGGTCACCCTGCTGTCCTGCCAAGGAACATGCTGGTGGCCATGTTGCTGAAGCCCATCTCTAAACACCCCCAAAACCAGGGCTGGATCATCTCCTCTGGCTGCACAGCTGGACCATCCAGCTCTGCACAACCTGAGCAATCCCATCAACCTGTTCCATGGACAGGAACATGAGAGGGGCCACCTTGGCCATGCCTAATTCAGGGGTCTTCTCCCTAAAGAAGGGTGGGATGGCACAGTTCACTGTGACACTGACAAGGCATTTGCTGGTGGTGGGGATGGTCCTGGGGTGAGGAGCAGGATGATGCTGGGCTGAAGACACCTCTTGGTTCAGATGCTCTGTATGGGACAGGCAATGGAGAGGTTTGGAGGTTGCCACCAGTTGCCTCATGGGTGTTGCCCAGGGGTGTCTTGGGGGTATGTGGTGGCAGGGTGAGGTCTGTCAGGGAGGACTCATCTGGAGCAGGGCCTGAAGAGATGCAAGAGAGGGCAGATGGAGTGTGACCAATTGTTCAAACACATCTTATTTGGTCCATGGTGGAGCCTGGTCGTGGTTACCACCTAAGAACCTGGTTTTATGCCCCAAAACTACCTCCTGGATCTCCCTTTCCTTCGAGAAACCCGCATGCCCCTTGACAGTCCCCATCAGTCCCAAATTCCTCCAGCCAGAGCGACCAAACCTCTCGCCAGGTTGTAGGGAGACCATGGGAAGAGTGAGCTCATGAAAAGAGAGGTTGGTCCTAGATGTGGGGAAACCATCAGAAATCATTTTCAGCAGCACCTCCCTGAGAAGCAGACGTTGCCCAGGCTGCTCCCCAGCCCTGCCAGCTCCCAAACACCACGAGGTCGTGGTCCACTCTCTGGTTTACCCCTGGAGGAGGCTCTTTGCTCTTGGGCTCCGTTGGCTTTGCCGGGGGTGGTTTTCCACCCAGAGGTGCAGGTGATACCGTCAGCATCACCTTACACCCACCCTGCCAGCACCCCATTTCCCTTCCAAATCTGCGGGGCCCCTCGGCGGGACCCTCCCCAAACAGTGACCACGGAGCTCCCAACAGCAGGTGGGGGGCAATCAATTGGTAATTAAATGGCAATTAATGACCAGCACCAGGGATGATGTCACGAAGGGCAGCTCCTGCCTTTGGCTCCACAGCCCTGTGCAGATTGTTGTGGCCGGGTGTGTGCAAGTTGGGTGTGCAGGGCTGGGTGTGAATAGTCGGATGTGCACCTCTGGGTGTGCAGGGCTGGGTGTGAATGGTCGGATGTGCACCTCTGGGTGTGCAGGGTCAGGTGTAAATGGTCGGATGTGCACCTCTGGGTGTGATTGGTGTGGATGTGAGTGGTTATGCGTGTGCAGTTGGGTGTGCAGGCGTGTGTACGTCGTTGGGTGTGCACTGTTAGGTGTGCACGGTCGAGTGTGAACAAGCCAGAGGTGCAGAGCTGTGTTTGTGGTTCTGCAGGAGTCCCTGCGTGCTGGGTGAAGGTTCTTGAGGGCTGTTGTGCACCTTCATGTGTGCACCACCAACTGTTCGGGTGTGATTGGTGCTAGGTGTGGATGTGACCAGCTGTATGTGTGTCTGGGGGTGTGGGTGTGGGTGGGTGTGCTCAGCACCACATGTCCACGGCTTGGAAACCCCTCCAGGGGTGGGGACTCCCCCACTGCCCTGGGCAGCCTGGCACAGGCCTCCACAACCCTCCAGGGCAAGAAATTGTTCCTCAGCTCCAACCTCAGCCTCCCCTGGGGCAGCTTGAGGCCCTTTCCTCTTGCCCTAATTCCATGGTGGAATGACGAGCATCCTTGAACCCCCATCTCTCAGACAGGGCTGATGTTTAACGAGGACGGGTGGGCAAAGGTTGGGGTGTCACCCGCTGGTCCATCCACACAGGGAGGTGCTGCAGATCGACCAGTTCCTGAAGGAGACGGCCGCCCGCGAGGCCAACGCCAAGGTCCGCCTCCAGCACTTCATCGAGGAGCTGCTGGACCGGGCGGACCGGGCAGAGAAGCAGCTCCAGATCATCAGCAGTAGCTGTGGC